TTTTTTCACATGAACAGTACACTGAGATTTTGAGAGATTTGGGTTTCTCCTCAGGGATAGAATTTAAGCTTGTCTATATGCGGTTTATTACATTTCAATGTATTATGAATACATACATAATCATCAGGGCTCAGATTCTGATGACTTAAAAATTCTTTGAAAATGACTTAAAAATAAGGCAAAAATTACCTATTCTTTTTAAAATATACTCAAAAATTTCTATGAAAATGTTTATATCATGAATTTTACAATTTCAAATAAAATGTATTTATATTAAATTTTATTATGCATAAAGTCTTTCTTTTAGGTGGAAATGTAATCCTTTGCTCTGTTTTTCCAACTGTCAGTTTTGAAAGGTCGAGGGAGTTGCCAAAGATCAATGTAATTTTGAGCGTTCAGTGAACAGAGTCCACTGCAGTAGTGAATTTCATCATGAACTGATGACACAAAAATAAACTTTATTCTAGTGTGTCATTGTAAATTCATGAAACATTCTCTAACAAACCATATGAAAAGGAAACAAAAGGCCTAAAAATGTCAAAAATAATGCAAAAGTTGCCAAAAAATGACCCAATAACTATATATTTCTATCTCTTATATGTCATGATAAACATTCATTTTCAAGTTGGCTACATCTAGAATGCACCAAAGAAATGACAAATCATCAGAATCCAGGCCCTGTTAATGATAAAAAATTATAGTAACTTCTTTAGGCCAATAGCTACTTGAGGAAATGTATGATTTTTATGAATCTATCGCAGAATTCAGCATTAATTGCTACTACAATAACACAAGTCCATCTTACCTACTTTTGTAAACAGTTGCAAAATATATTTATAATAAATACAATTTATTGGTTTATTGATGGAAGCATTATCTAAGAGTATTATTAAGAATTCTTTACAAGTTATAAGTATCTTTAAATGTTTTCACATACAGTAAGAAAGCCCTAAGGACATAAGAAATAACCATCATCTGTTTTGATGTGAAAGTATTTTTAAAAATATATTATGAGGACAAATTTAGTTTTGGACTTGCAATAGTCTGCGTAATCCTAAGCTTTATTTTCATCATGTCATCGCTATGTATACAATGACGGAAGCTCATGGTATCATGATGGCATCTGATATGTAGGGCAGCATACAACACCAATTTTTTTTCATTAAAATTCTTGTAAGAATAGAATAAAATACGCAAAGGTGGCATAGGTCGGATTTTCAGGTTAATCTCTGCATATTTGAAAATTTCAAAATTCTTCAGGTGTCGTCTTACAACTACAAAATTGAAGATAGTGATTTTTCCTTCAAATAAAATTTCTTCTCCATAGTGAATTATTTCATGAAGATCATATCCATGTTTTTGAAAATTTTAGTACTTTTCGTGCAATAATGTGAGTAATATGTGCAATTTTCAAAAATTACAAAAAATATTTTCCCAAAGACAGCTACATTTTTTTCTTTAAAATGTCATTGGGGATAATGATAAATGCACTCTACAACAAAGATGCCATATTTCTCTATTTTTTCCAAAAAAAACGAAAATGTATTTTTTATATTCGTCTCTCACGTTGTTAATATTTATATTAGCGGCAATTTGTTCACATTTGTATTCATGAGTACATGTGCTAATAATGTCATATAAAGTTTCTGGAAAAACCAACAGTTTTCTGTGAGAACTCGCTCAAAACTCCGCATTTTCAGAAACGCTCAATCGCCATTTTCTCAAAAAGGCTTCAATTTATTTTATCAAACATTGCGAACGGATAATGCTAATTCCACTCTTTAATATGTCGTATACTTCATTGGTGTGTTTTCTTGTTGTTGTTTTTTTCGGTGAAAAAGCTTCAAATTTCGAAATTAGCGCATAAACGCCAGTTTTTTAAAAAGGGATTCAAATAAAAAATAATCTCTAGAATGAAGTTTTCCTGTTCTTCATTAATCTTAAAATAATATTCTCTCCCTACAATTAGGAAACCAAAAAAATTTAGAAAATTTCAAAAAGAAAGGACTTTAAACAGCGATGGATGGCAGCTGGCAGAAGTTGAATAGTTAGTCATGACCAAAGGAGGAAAAAAAAAAAAAATAAAAATAAAAATAAAAAATAAAAAAATCGGGAATGTCTGTGCCATTCTCTAGCACCACTAGCTTTTATTTTCTTGTCTATCACATGTACATTACTGCACATGGACAACTATTTTTCTTGTGCTTGGCTGGCATTAATTTATTTGTACTTCTTACACATGATACTTGTTTCTGCTTACTTAGGATTTTACTTTCTTCTAATCACTCACATTTCCCTTCTGTAGTTTTTATTTTTCACTACTTGGGACACAATTTCTTTCAGTGCCATCCATGTTTTAAACCAATGATTACACAATTACATCTTGGTGCATTGGAGAAAGAAACTATACACAGCAGAAAACCCAAGTTTTAATTTTGTTGAATATTAAAGCTTGTAATAAATAGGGGAAGGCGGTGAAATTTATTATTATTATTATTAACAACTCTATTAAATACAATATTCTACATAAAATATACCACCAAATCACGCAACAATCTCAATTTTGGAAAAATAGTGTCATAGCTCCCTCTTGCTTTTTTTGCCTTGAATAAAATGTAGGTGGAGATGTACATTGAGATAAATTAAAGCTAGTTTAGATTTAAATCAAATTATTATTTTAAAAAAATCATTGATTTAAATCAACATTTATTATTTGTAATATTTGAAAATATATTTGCGTTTTAAATATTTGTTAAATAAAAATTACTGAGATAAAAAGACTTAAATCAATTGCAAAGTTGATATAAAGGATATATCATATTTTATATAAACTTTTTTATATAATTTAACAATTTTGAGAAAATAAAATACAGTCCAAAATACAATAAAATGAACAAACTTATGAAATAAAGAACACTAAACAATTTGAAGTAGAGTTATATACTAATAGACTCAGATGATCGATTAGTTTTTATTCTGTATTTAATTGTCTGTAGATAAAATCAAATTTAGCAGAAATATCACCCTCACACACTCGGAGCTAGTTTAGAGAGAAACGTCTTTAAAGCTTCAACGGTGTCCATAATTCTAGGTTTGGTCTGCATTTTCAATGTTTGCCAAAGCCACTTAAAGTTAATTTTAAAAATGAAAAGTATTAATAACAAACGGAATATTATGAATACTTATTAAAAGAACAAAATTAATATTGTTAAAACTAATGAAAATAGTAGTTAATCTTACTAGTTTTAATAATATTAATTTTTTTATTTATTAAACTTATTTGTATATTGATAAAATTTTATTTTAAGCAGGAAGTGTATTTCCCACTGACTATTAAAGGCTGCACAACTAACAACCATTATATCCTGTATTTCTCAATAACAAAACAACTTGAGTAGAATTTAATATTTCAAAAACCGTCTACATTGTTATGAATTTTTTAATGACTTCACTTGTTTTCAACAATAAGTGCTTTTTTATTAGGGTGGTATTGCAATTGTAAAATTTCTTTGAACGAGGAATGCTTTTAATACTTTTTATTTTTTTGGTTGCATGAACTCTAAGGTCATTAGTGACCATACTTAAAATTCTTTACAGTGTATTAAATAAGTTTACATCTTTTAGAAATTTGGAAA